AGTTGTCGCTGTGTAGGAGTGGGTCTATTGGAGCGCTCGGTCTGCAGGGCGTCAAAGAAGGCCGCGTTCCAGAAGCGAAGGGATCGCCAGATGGGCTGTTCTCTCAACACGTAATACAGGTATTGTTTGTGGGGTCGGCAGGAGTGCGATGACTGTTGCGATTGCTGTTGCGATGGATAGCTTTCGTGGTAATACGTGAAACACATGTTCATCAATGTCTTGGCGGGTGTGAAGTCGTCCGATTCCGAGCACTCGAACAATACGATCGCAAAATATTGCGCCAAACTGTAGAAAGTGGTCTCTTTAACCTTCTTGTTGTGCACTCTCTGTGATAACAATAGAAAATGTTTTCATTATTTATGACAATTGCATTTCAATAAACATGTCAAACGATAAAACACCTGTTCGTTGATATATCTGGCAAACCATAGCCTTCCGAACTCTGTTCGACACATTTCGCCAAACTTTGCCTTTTCCTCCAATGTTATCGCATTGCTATTAATAATACATTCAAACATATATTAATTTCAATCAATTTTGAAGGTTATATAATCAATGATTAAATGATAGATACCTTTCATTGAATACTTTTGAGACAAAGTCTTTCATAAAGAGTTTGGAGTATCGGTAGAGTTCTTCGCCCTGACTGTCGCCGCTGACACTCGAGACGGACGACTTGTCCGATTGGCGGGAATCACATCTCTTGAAGCCGTCGTCTTCGGCATCAGATGACTCTAAACTAGTGCTTTGACCGCTTCCTATGCCAAGCGATTCTGCGGTTTTGTAGTATTTCAATGAGTCGTGTATTTCAAGGTTTCGTAACTGTATTTCGGAGACAGAGGTACAGCTGCTGCCCATACTCTGCCCGCTGTCCAGAGTGTCCAATGAGTCCAGACTCTGGCCTTTATTGCGATGAAAACTTTGATTTTGGTAATTGATTTCCGGCTGACCGAACACTGATCTGTCTTTGGATCTTCTGGAGAAAGAAGCGGATGAATTACTTGTGACCATTTTGTTACTTTCGGTCGTATTGTCCGAACTGTCAGTAAAGGCCACATCAAAGCCCGCGTGAAGTGCGGCCTCTAATTTGGACGACAGGCCGGAGAAGAGGTTGTCTTTGAATCCCCACAACCTTTCGGAGCCGAAGAGACGCGGAGACGACGCCTTCTCCTCCCAATCAGTGTCCGCACAGCTCTTGTCTTCTTCCACAACAATAATTGCTGTCATAATTGAAAATTCGTTGTTCTGTTGTATGAATTTAATAGTGATATCGAAATAACAAAATTGAGGCAAAGTTTGTGACTTTGACGACGATATTGCTTCCGACCGGCATTTATTCAACACCTCTTTCCATAACTTCTCACTTAAAGCCTTGAATGGGGATAGAAATTGGTTTGGATTCTCTTTGCCAACAGATATTTACACATACTTTGTCGCCGGCAATAGAGATAGAGAATGGGTTTTGAAATTTCCAGTCGAGTTTGAATTGAATACAATTTTTTTGATATTTAATACCAAAACTGACAGCAAAAATGTTTGAAATAATTGATGTTTTTTGCAAATAAATTTATATTCTGTCGGTTTGACTCCAATGAAACACCTTTTTCTGTCGATTTAATACAACTACACATTAAATATTATTTAATCATTTGAATTCACATTTACGGAATCAAACGCTAATAAAAACAGGTGTTGTTTAATAGAGACATAAATATTAATTTATATTATTTTTGATTAAAGCATTTAAGTCACTCTGAAAAACAAATACACACTTGATTTCATTTACTAATCTAACGATCGGATTAATGATTATTCTCGAAATATATGTACAGAATTTACAATGATTTATGTGTTTTATGACTCGGTTACTCTTATCACTGAATATCTAAAAAAGCCGTATTTTTAATAATGAAATATCAATTTAGGGCACAAAACAAAAAACATATACACAAATAAATTTTATATTACTTTTTATTATTGCTATTTTCTTCTTTAACTTGGAATTGAGTGGAAACCCAATTGTTATCTACTATTTTCTCTCTCACTCGACGGCTCACTCTCGCTCTTTTCCAATCTCTCTCTCTCTCTCTCTCTCTCTCTCTCTCTCGATGCGCCTCTCATTTGACGCATCGAAATGACGCCAATTTGAGTGCCGTTTTTGCCACCAAAACTATTATCGATTTTTTGCCATTTATTCACTAAAAATATTGTGAATAGTAGTGAATAGCGACCTATTTTTGGATACATCTGAAACCATTTTTCGAGCGAAACTATAGTTTTATACCACTAAATATATCCTGAATGTTACGTTATATCCACTATTGTATAGCCATTACAGGGATACAAATATCTTTTGTAATCAAACGGCGGCGGGAATTTGACCATCTTCTGGTCACTCAATTTAATAATTTGTGAATCCATATGAATCCTCATATATTTAAAAATGATATTCATTTTACAAAATAAAAATATCTCTTAAAATAGCTACACAGCTCTCACCCGAAGTTGAGGCCAACTTTTTCCAGTTTTTAAACATATAAATCCCATTATATTCAATGGTAATGTCAAATTCGATTTAAGACTAACCGAATTGGTCGAATTGACCGAAAATATCATACTTAAGTAAATTAGAGTAAATTATGACATTTAAACTATATATAAAGCCAAATAAAATTATATGACATGGGTTGACCAACTTTTACACCCGCACCACCATGATCTGATTTTCAAGCAAAACTCTCCTGTGACAGGTCAAATCAGACCATCAACAAATAAATTAATGTAGCCATATTAATAAGTATGATGATAATTTTTCATTTAACACTTATTAACAGTTGATTTAAAAATAATATGTTCGGCAATTTAATTATCTTTGTCCAATATTATTGTCGGCATCGGTATTAACGTGTTTTTACCCTTAAAAACTAGAAAAAGTTGGCCTCAACTTCGGGTGAGAGCTGTGTAGCTATTTTAAGAGATATTTTTATTTTGTAAAATGAATATCATTTTTAAATATATGAGGATTCATATGAATTCACAAATTATTAAATTGAGTGACCAGAAGATGGTCAAATTCCCGCCGCCGTTTGATTACAAAAGATATTTGTATCCCTGTACATAATGTGTGTACAGAATATGTGTACTTCAGTTGAGTCAATATATAACGGTTATTAAAAACTTGGTTTACTTGTAGTCTTACTTCTGTATACAATAGCTTATTAGATGTTGTCATTGAAGACTACAATTACATGTAGTTTCGCTTTCAATGAACAAAAATCACAACATTTTCTACACATTATTCTGTCATTTATTAGAATTCATTGCAAACAGTTTTGAGCAAAAAAACAAGTAAAACATTATATTTTATTAACATTTCCTTCTTATATAATATTTATAACATTTTCATATAATTTATGTGTTTTTTATAAGTCTCTCATAAACAATAAAATAAATTGTTAGTTTCATTTCAAAATTATATATTTTTTACATAAAATTCTAGTGTTTTATGTATTAAATTGATTTGAATCTTATTTACTGTAATTTACAAATAATATTAACTGTTATTTTATTGTTTGTAAAATATTCTGTAAATTCCTGTATCAAACACATCTCAAAATGAAATTGTTAAAAATTGTTTTAAAAACATAATCGATGTTAATAAAGCCCGATGTTTTTTGATTTAATAAAATTAACCAAATATTATTAACGAAATTATAGTTAAAAAATAATAGTTAAATGTTGTTTATAAAAGTCAGTAAAATTGTTGAACTGTTTAGCAGTAAAAATAGTCTAATAAATAATAAACATTAAATATTCATAAAAACTACTGTTATATTGCACTGAAATACTGTACTCTACTGTAATTTACAATCAAATAAATGTATTATTTGATTTATTGGACAGATTTGAATATAACTTTTTATATTATTCGTTTTGTAGATGGGTTTGGCTCTCATCACTCATTTAGCAGTGGATTGTATTCGGTGTCAGTTGTCCGGATCGGGTCCGTACTCACACGGCACCACTTTTAGCATGAGTTGGCATTTGTTTGTTATGTAATCTGTTTGAGACAATTGTGTGTTAAAATGAGTGCATTTATATGCCATGACATTGAATGATAGACTCACTGATAAGATGAGGAAATCTAATCCTGTATTTAACGAAAGGAATATAGAATAATATTCCGGAGACGATGTAAAGCGTGGCGTAAAGGTATTCAATCTGTGGCTTTTCAATGATCGGTGCGATCACCAGATATATCGATATCAGGAATACCACGGCTGGTATACTCAGGTGAACCTGTGTTTTCATAACATGTCATCATTAGTTTACAGACTAAACATTCATCTATATTATTATTATTTCAGTAATCATTTGTAATGCTTATCTGACTATGACTTTTCATTACTCATGGTTTCGGTATTTAAGCTTTTTATAAATAAAATATTCTGTTTTTTTTGTTAAAATTTCATATTCATTACTATTTACTAAAAGTATTAATATTGTAATAAAGTGTCTGAAAAATCCTAAAGTTTTCATAAAAATTACGAAGTGATTAAACGCTTTGAAGTAAATATATTTTCATCAAATTCATTGATATTGTATTTTTAGAATATTAATGAAAATATGAATTTCTAGTGAATTTGGTATTTGTTTGAAGATTATTATGAATTTTACTAAATGGTAATAAATTTGAAAATAGATAATTTTTATATCAAAAATAGTAATATTATTTTTAGTGTGAATTTGATGCGAAAAACACATATTATCAGTAATTGATTTTGACCTTAATTTTTCAATTATCATTTATTGTTAAGAATAATAAAAACAGTTATTATTGAAAATTGGGTTATTTTTTCATTCAAAACCAAATTCTATAAAAACAATTTGAAAAAACAAAAACCGGGGCTTACTTTATAAGGCCTAGACTTGTCTTTATAGGGGTGTTTGTATCTCAAAACGATGAGTGCGAGCATGGTGGCCCCGTAAAACAGCCAGGCCGTGAAACTGAAAAAATCGATTAAGCTTTCAATATTTCCCGGAATTACCATTAATACTGTCGTTGTTTTTATGAGTGGGAAAAACGTCAATTAAAATTACAATTTATTTTCAAATTTCCTGACATTTACTTGAAAGGAATGCATTGAATATGAGAGCCGGGGATGGAGTGTATCGCTCCATATCGACGAATGATAGCACATCTATCAGGTGTCCCTCTCGTGCCGCCACAAACGCCAACCTATTTTTATCATAATTAATTTTTAATTAATTTTGTATTTTTGAGCACACAATACAAAACGATAACTCTATTATAATAGACCAGACCTTCCGCTTGTAAAACACGATCCATTGCCGGCACCAAATGATGAAAGGGCTACTGATATGGGCATTATTATGGCTGCCATTCCCAATACATGAGAACCCCATGTCTGAAAAGTATTTTATAACCATATTAAATGTCAATTTAAATAAAATAAATAAAATGATAATAATATATACCACAGCGACCGCATCGGAGGCAAGAATCTCATCCGTTGTCATCACAGTCTGAAATGTGATTTTTTACAAATTAATAGGTTTTAATATAAGTTTAACAAAAGCATACCATATATGAGATGTTGACGAGAACATAGCAAATGGTAACCATAGGAATGCCACATATGATGGCCAGCGGAAGGTTTCTAAATGAAAGACAAAAGTGTAATTAATAGGGTCATTTATTTAAACATCTTGTTAATTACTAATACCTGAATGGATTAATGAGCTCTTCAGTCACGTAATTAAGATTATTCCTATAAAACATTTATATTTAGTGTTTTAGAAGAGATGGTAAATTGTGAGATAGTATGCATACCATCCGTCATAAGCCCAGAGCCCGCTGTAAAAGGATGTGGCGATATCTGAGAGCGAATATTTTGATCCCTTAAAACCCTTCGAAATGAGTCCAGTCTTTCCCTGACATAACTGAACGATACCTCCGATGACAATAATAATGATGGCCAACAGTTTGGCGGCTGTGAAGACATTCTGAGTACTGGTCGCTAAGTTAACGCTATAGCAGTTGACGAATGTTATGGTGACTGAAAAGTAAAACCAGAAACGAAACAAACGATTATATAATCAAAACTGCTTCAGACGTACCGCTAATTTAAAGACGATTTTTAATTTTTTCACACAACAGTCAAACCATAATCTCTTTAATTTTATTGATGGATTGAGTGCTGCATTAAATTTGCGGACATTTTAACGGTTAAATACGGACTCAAAGTACATACCTATGGAAAAGACGGTAATGAGTTTGATTAGTGGTGCGCCCGGAAGGCAGCCCACGAAGAATGGCTGAACAGCGTATTCGCTTAGAGTCATGCATATGATGGCTAACATCGCCGGCTTTAACACAAATACAGAGATCCACGAAAAGAGAAACGCTAAGAGACCGCCAAATGCCTCGAGAATATATGAATATTCAGCACCGGATTTGGTTATTAATGTCCCTAATTCTGCATAACATAACGCACCTGTAGGTGACAAACACACACACAGACAAAAATGTTTAAAAATATATTAAAATAATTGTTGAGTCAAATTTAGCAAAGAGTGCCCAAACTCTGACAGACCTAATAGAGATATGAGACCAGAACCCGTCCATATCAGTAAACTAAGGCCCACAGAACCAGACCTCTCGAGCACTCCTTTTGGTGACACAAAGATTCCGCTTCCTTTCCAATAAAAATAGGATAAAAATTTTAATATTAATTTGTTATTATCTATATATCTATAATATTCTAACAAATAATATATCAATTTAATAGTTTATTTAAATAAATATTCAAATATTAAACAAAATATTGTGTTATTTTAATATATTTTCAAATATCCATTACTATTCTTTGTTTGACATTTCTATTAATATAATTTAAAGCGTTTATTTCACAATAGAATTCAAACATTTAAAAATATATATGTTTCTGACATTTTTAAATCCTTATAATTACTTTCAATAATGCCTTCCGTTTATAGAAACTGAATATATTCTTGACATTAATGGTACGAAATTTATTCTCATTATCAGAACTCAATGGGAATTATAATATAAAACTGCATTCAAAATAAAGTCATTAAAGAATATGCATATCCAATAGGAAGACAATATTCATACCAATCATTGTGCCCACAATAAGTGCTGTACCACTGATTAGTCCAACCCTTCTCTTAAGGCCAACAATAGAGATGTTTCCTTCGGATATATTCCGTAATCTTTCATCCGATTCGTGATTATTGGAGTTGCCGTCCAATAACTTCTGGACAATTGTCCCGTTAGTTCCCACTAGAATTGGTATTAAGATTAACGGATTATTTATAACTTTTATTTATTTATTAATATATTTGTTTATTACTTATGACTTCCGTGTCCTGTACTGTGAGCTTCTTTTTCTTCTTCTGAGACATCTTTCCGTCAAAAAAGTTACAACAGTTTAATGTGTTATGTATTGAAAGAATCACGCAATCACTCAATATCTTCTTTAATGGTTAAAAATCTAACAAAAATAAAATAAAATTTATATTTAATGACAATATTCTCAAACATTCAAAGAATTTCTTAAAATTAAATCAATTATTTTTAATCAATAAACTAAAAGATAGTTTTCGTTGATATCTTTAGATGACGTAAATCTCGACTGAAGTATAGTTTGGATGAAATATTTATATAAGAATAATAACAAAATAAAACACAAACTGTTTTTGACGTTAAAGAATATTAGCAAACAATTACACTATATTTTTGTGTTTCCAACAGTTTTGTCAACCAATATATTATCTATTGAGGCGATTGTCAACAATCAATATTAAGTTGAAATTTTCATTCAACTAAATGTCTCAGTCTATTGAATACCACTTTTATTCAGTTTTTATTTTTATTAAATTATAAGACGTTTTGTGAAAGAAAATCGATTATAAAAGACAAACACAAAACAGAATTTATGTTAAAATATGAATATTTGTATTTTATATGAATATTTCTTGTGACATGAAAACTACTACAAGTGATGTTACTATTTATGTTTGATAACAAATATAATCAAATTTACTTTAGCGGGACATTACGTGTAGAAACAAATGCGAAAACAAATAATAAAACCGTGTTTTCTATGTCTGACAACATTTTATTATGGAAATGATGTTAATTTAGTTCAACAGTTATGGCACACAATAACGATATTATAAGACATTTAATTCATTGAACCATAAATTCCAATGTTTTAATAGTAATGAAATATATTAAGCGTTAAGTGAGAGTAGAGTACATAACAAAGAATATATAGAATTTAGATATAATATGAGAATAATTATAGATTATTATAAGAGTTTATGCATTCGTCGTATCGTTTGAGTTAATAAAACAAAGAAAATTAGAAATTAGTGATAAAAGTGTGGAATATTCTGTGAAATGTTGGATATAAGCCAACACTGAAATGTGAGTTCGGATTCAAAAATACGGCAAATATGACAAACAGAGGTCTCGGAGAAGAGGGAGAGAAGTCACGAGTCATTTACAAAAGAAGAAACCTTTTCGACAATATATTTGGTTTGTCTTTGAATTCAATCTTAAACCTAAGTATTGAATAAAATTTGCAAAAATAATTGCAATTTTAAACTCAATTCCTACTCTAACTAAAAATGTAAGAATTTTAAGTAATTCATAAAAATTCCTTATTATAACTCATTATATTTTTTGTTTCAATTATATTATGATTTTGTTGATTATTTTAATTCAAATATAGTATAAATGAGATTAATTTTAATGTAATTTTTAGTTAATACACATTAACACAGTTAACACGACATGTGTTTAGTTGTAATAATAAGTAATTGTTGCATGTTTTATATAAATTTATAGTCGCGTTTGTCTCGTGTAATTAATTATCCCTTTTATACACATGTTCAATTACAATAAATCTAAATTAAATACATTGAGATTTATAATTAAAAGATCACTTTATCACACAATTGTCATTAAACCTTAATTAAAATAATTTAAATATAAATTACTATAATTTTTGGAAATTAAAGTAATTTGTTAAATTGTTAAATTAAATCTAGAAAAATAAATATTCATTTATATAAAACTTCTCAAATAATATCGAAATTTTACAAAATGTGAGTCAATTGTGGAAACGATATATAAATAGAAAATTAGATATAAATAGACAACAATTACTTACTTTCGGAAAAGTGATGAAATAAATAATTTAAATTTCAATATAGTTTATTGAACTATCAATTAAATATTTATAATATTTCCAATAGAATTAAAGGTAATTAAATATATTAATTATTGAAAACCCAAATAGAGGCCCAACTGTTAAGATAAGATAAAATAATGTAATAAATAACACGTGAATTAGCGAAACGCTACCAAAATATATGAGCACTTCATTTCAAAAGGGGATTCAGTTTTTTGTGTGCAAATGTTGTGTGCATTCAAAGGCTGTATTCCATTTGCTAGACGTTTGCAAACCATAAGCGATGGGAGAATTTCATGTGTGAGCATCACTTGATGCGAGTCATGCGCCCCAAGACATGCCATCCCTGTCCTCCCTCTACTGCTTTTACTTCTAACAAACACTCCATAATTGGGGGCCAACTCTTACCACTCATTCCCTATTGACATGTATTGCAAAACACGTTAACTCTTTTCAATACGTGAGATGTTTTGACGTAAATTCATTCATAAAATCCAATGATTAAACAAATCATAAATTATAAGAAGTTTGTGTTTGCCTTTGATATTATTTCACCATTTTATCATTTATTTAAACACTTTTCTCACATTTTGTTTGAAAAATAATAAATTTTAATGTGATTTATAAATGTAAATAAAAGGCTAAATATATTCTTTAGATTAAACATTTATTATATAAGACATTATAAAATATACTTTATATTAAATGATTATCTCATTATATGTAATATAGAGATTGTCACGGAATTTGTTCAATACATGTTACTTATCGTAATTATTTACGTCAAATATTACATGATAAAAGTAGAATCTACTTACAATCTACTTATTCTAAATATGATAAATATTTAATAACTAAATAGATTATTTATGAGCTTATAGTAAGTTAATAATAGTAGAAATAATGAGTAAAATATTCAATTCATTAATAATTAATTTTAAAGCTCTCAAAATATAGAGAAAACAATAAAATATATTGTTGTAAATATTTTCTATAAATATTGTCATATAAAATTGTGCTGTCATTTGATTTCAAATACAATTAATTAATTAAAATGTCAAATAAATATACAGTATATGAGTTAATGTTGTGTTGAAGACAAGAATCATATTAGAAATCTTTGGTCGAGAAGGGCTTTTCTGATCAAATTCTTGCGAGAAATAAAAAGATATAATCTTCGGATGAACTAAATCAAAATGATAGAAACATTTACAATTTAAATATATGTTATACTTATTTAATTATATTATCAATGGATTACTTTTGATATAATGAACGTAAGGATTGCTGAAAAAGTGAAGTTTATGGCAAAGATATCCACCACTAAAAACAGCATTAATTCAAAGCATAAAAGCGTAAACTCTAAACCATAAAAAAGGATGGCTTCGAATGAGTGGCCGTTATCTACAAATTAAATCTTTTTTTTAGATCCAACGAAGACTAAAGACAAGTTAAATACCGCTGTAAAAGTATCCCTTATCTCTGGTATCGGCGAACTCGACATCAAATATGGACTCAATGGTAGACTTTTCGCGGACCATATAATCAACGTCTTTAAAGTTATGTTCAATAAAACCAGTGAGAAATTTATTGATCATGAGATAAGTTGGGATGAGTTTCTCGGTGTCGGCTTTGGATAAGTGTGCGCCAAATGAACGCATTCTGTCACTTATTTTGACAAAACCGGACAAATTTGAGCGAACCCTACGGTAGTGTTCATCAATAGCTAAGGGCAAAGACATCTCAAAAGTCTGTTGGTCTGTATTCGGTAAAAGTCCTCGTTTAGAGCAAAGATCGCTCTCTTCTCGTTCCAGTTGTTCATACATTTCCAACATATTTACATCACTTTTGCCATTAGCCGCCAAACCATGGATATAATAACCAAACCGTTTGTATTGCATCGCAAACAAACTTATCTAAAAATTATTTTTAAAATGTTGTTTAATTAATTAATTGAATTTAAAGAATAAAGGTATCGATAATTTTGCATTACATTACAAACAGAGCACAGATCGACAAATTGATGCATTTTATTGTTCAGAAGAGTTTCGTAAATAAATTTCTTAAATGCAATATTAAGGAGCGCCAGAATCGCATACACAAGTCCTCCAACTGCTATCCGTCCGGTCGTGCTTTGGATTACATATCGTTGCGATTCATCTCTTGTCAATGAATTGCTCGGATCAGAGAGGGCTAAGTTTGCACATCCGAAGTACTGTTTATATATAAACATTAATCCATTCAAATATTAGACAACAGTAAAAACAAACTTACGTCTAACACAAGGATTACAAGAAATATATGAATACTAAGACTGAGCCGTCTGTGTCCGCACAACTCCATCCATTCATTGGCCACGAAATTAGTCCTCCAAACGGTTACTTTTGGGAACTCATACGACAACTTGTCTAATACAGGTTTGGGTGACGGAGAAGACAGAGACCCGCTTAGGCTAAATCTGCGCTTATTTTGTTCGTCACCATTCAATTTGTCCTCTTTTTGACTGTCGGTTAAACCAATCTCTGGTTTGTGTACAGCTATAGACACCATTGAATTGGTGTCTCGTTTCTTAGGTCTCTCCCAGTCTATAAAAAATATGTCAATACTAGATATGACGAGCAGTTTGTATATCAGATGAATTGATTTCAACGCTAACGCAACTATAATATAAGTTTTTAAAGTATGTTCTTGTGATTCAGTGGAGAGCATAGTGTCGACCACTGATTGCATCTTAAATATCATAAACAATTTGATAGCGAAAAACATGTTTACAAAGAAGAAAACATTGGCGATCATCGCTATGGCATTGACGAGGAACTCAACGATTGTCATCATATCGATGCCAATCTTGCCGTTTCTCTTCGCCCAACACCAGGTCCTGAATATAGACCAGACAACAGCCGCACAACAGAATATGCCAACAATTATCAGGTTTGGGTGACGGAGAAGACAGAGACCCGCTTAGGCTAAATCTGCGCTTATTTTGTTCGTCACCATTCAATTTGTCCTCTTTTTGACTGTCGGTTAAACCAATCTCTGGTTTGTGTACAGCTATTGACACCATTGAATTGGTGTCCCGTTTCTTAGGTCTCTCCCAGTCTATAAAAAATATGTCAATACTAGATATGACGAGCAGTTTGTATATCAAATGAATTGATTTTAACGCTAACGCAACTATAATATAAGTTTTTAAAGTATGTTCTTGTGATTCGGTGGAGAGCATAGTGTCGACCACTGATTGCATCTTAAATATCACAAACAATTTGATAGCGAAAAACATGTTTACAAAGAAGAAAACATTGGCGATCATCGCATACCGTAACTGCTCCTTGAGTTGCTAACAGTAGTATAGCTACGGTTAGAACGGCAAAGAGAAGCGGGTTGTGGTCCAGGACTTATATCTGGTCTGTTGTCGGCGTGTTGTCTTATACGGTTGTTAATTGGACTGAATTCGTTTGGGGTTCGAGTCGTCCATCGAATACTTGATTGCGAATTGAATCTCTACTTCAGTATTGCTTTCGTAATCATTTAAATACAGGGTTTCGTATAATATGGTAATGAGTGGCGGATATATAGATCCCGAGCCGTCTTGTTTGCGAAGTCTTACATCTATTTCAATAGATTTGGCGATTCGTATGAATTTCGGTTGAATTGTGTTGTAATCAAGTTTCATGTCATCCGAAGACTTCTCGATACCAGTTATGGAATCAATTAAATAGAAACGATTGGTCAGAACCACTGAATGCTGTTCTTCGCCCGTATCGTAACCATCGATGTCTTTGTTAACCGACACGTGATTTAGCTTAATATTTCGGATCAGAACCGGAATCGGGTATAAATTGATTCCATTGTTTCCATTCGTATTCTTGAGATATAATTCAAAGAATATATTCTTCGACTTGTAATCATCCCATAATTCTCTTGTCGTTCGGACACAACTTTGTTTAAAATTATTATTGAAAACAAAACCTCTTTCACTGCTCTTTTCATTCTCGTAACATAATTGCAATTCTTTGGGCTTAAGATCTGAATAATCAATAAGTTGGCCATCGATGGCAAACCGGGAGGCAATCAACTCTAGTCTATAGTTGAGTTTGAAATGATTGGGAACATTGTTTTGTTGCAATTCATTTCGGAAATATCCCTTATAATAGATGTTCGGCGCAAGAGTTAAAGGCAACGAATCCCTCACTATTTTACAGACATTGGACTCAACGCTNGGCAATCAACTCTAGTCTATAGTTGAGTTTGAAATGATTGGGAACATTGTTTTGTTGCAATTCATTTCGGAAATATCCCTTATAATAGATGTTCGGCGCAAGAGTTAAAGGCAACGAATCCCTCACTATTTTACAGACATTGGACTCAACGCTTGTGTCCGGAGAATAGGAATAATGGTATAAAACGCAGAGATTGGCCAACAGTTGACACGCGGTTCGGTTGGACTCGTATTTGCAGTTCCGGACCGCAGGTCTGGACCGACGGTAGAAGTAATCGGATATAAATCGTTTGTCTGGTGTCTCGGATTCAATCAGTGATATGACATTCAAATAGTCTTTCGTGAAGAGCTGCCCCTCTGGCAGACACATGCCGTCCTCTTCCACGTAAGTCTTCGGACAAACGCATTCTCCCGACGCTCTGATATAGCTTTGATGACACGGCTTACAAGACTTGCCATCACTCGCGAGGATGCGATGTTTGGGACACTTCTCGCACTTGAGATCGACGACAGTGTCGTTCATTTGATTGACACTTTGGACCAAAAAGTGGCGCTCAGGACACAGACAGTGGGATTCGCTGTCGTTGTCGTGACTTTGGCCGCCATATAAACCCGATAAACAATTAGCGCATTGAAAGCCATTCATGGGTTTGGAATCGTTGGGACAATCGATGGTATCGTTAATACAGTAAAGCTTTACTCCCGAAGATTTGGCCAAATCTGGCCGAAAGCCGGGCCGACACACACACGACGTGTAATCACTGGATCTGATCTGAAACCTACTTTCGTAGATGTAATCATTGAGAT